TTTATAATTAATAATAATTTTATAATTAAAGCTTAATTAAAGCTTAAAATTAATTTTTATAAAATTTCTAGGTAGCTAGTACTTAGCCCGTATATCCGGGGCCTACTTTTAGTCTCTGATATATCCACTCTAGACAACGTGAAATACTTTCCAAGAGGCCTTTCGTCTTTGATAGCTGAGCAACTCGGTGCGAAACAAAATGGGTCACGTCGTCCATAATAAATCTAGATGTGTCCTCTTCGAATATTGTGATGTGCGGAGAATCTTCTGACGGTTGGTTGTAGAAGGGAAACAGAGAACTCTGATCAGGCCGACTTGTCAAGAGATATTTCAGCTTGTTAGAGCCTATCCGGCCGCCGGTAACATGGTTATGGATATTTTGTGCCAAGCCCCTTAAATCCGAGTCTGCACACACGTCCACGGCATCAAGAACAAAGATTATACGCCCAGCCTGAGAATCTTTCACAGCATTTCTGAGAATACCCCAGAGTGATTCGGTAGAAGTAATCAACACCTGCTTGTCTCTGCGAAATTGACACATAGCATAGTCAAGAAGATCTGGATTTTGAGAAAACAGCTGGTGAAGCAAGGCGCAAAGTGCCTGGCGAGCCTGATCCTGAACTCCTTTCTGAAAGAAAACATAACAAACGGTTGATCTTTTGGGAAGACCGCGGTCAACTAGATATTTGGCCAGCACCGACTTCCCATGGCCAGGGCGCGCCAGGAGCAGCAGGACACCGGAGTCTTGTTTCAGCCACTTCCGGTAATGATGCTGTTGCAGGAGCCACTGACAGGTACCGTCTAATGGATCTTCCACGCGATCCTTGTACCACTCGTACGCGGTGCTGTCGTTCTTTCCCGAAAGACGAAGTGATTCAAGACACTGTACTTCCTCGGGGGACCAAGTCCGACGGGCTGCCCGCCGCTTGGCTCTACGCTGTGCCTGCGAGGCACCGGCGTCTGATTTTGCAGGATCTTCGGCTGCTATTATGCTTGCCTTGATTAATAGGTGACCCTGTTACAAGACTCGACAAGACTCACCTTTCAGAATATCGCTAATCCTCTTCTCAGATTGGACCGCAGCGACGGGTATTTGATAGAGTAAATCTTTTGCATATGCCGCTGCTGATATTGCGGCATAACGCCGCCACTCGTCATTATTATGCGAGTCTGCATAGTTGTATATGCTACGAATAACCAAGCATGGAAAGTGGCTCATCAAACCAGCAGCTTCCGTTTCAAAACAAACCACATTCTTCTCTGCTACGAGCTTATCGCGAATCAAAGCGTCCCTTGGTATCTGGCCCGCCGAGGCAATCACCCCGTAATGAACAGCTGGATAGCTTTTGAACGGATCTCGCTCATTTCGCCGCACCAGCTTCGCCGGGTCGGTACCGCAGGACGTCTCACAGCTCTCTGCGCCCGGAGGATGCGTGACTTCAGCTCGATACAGCCTGTCTGCGCTGGGACGCGGTCGCTTAAAAGTTTGTAATCCCGGGTTTCCTTTGAGGATGCTGCTGATGGTTTGTTGAAGTTGGTGGCCTGGAATCTCGTACCGGAACTGGAGTCTGTCCGCGGCATTTCGCAGAAAGATGGGCGGCTGATTTACAACGCCGGTTACGTGGAGATTTCCGTCTTGCATGGTCTTGCCAAGATCGTACTGGAACACGCCGTGACTGTCACTGCGAGCAACGCCAACAACAATATCGCCGAGGCGTACATCGTGTTTTGGACTTGGCGCCCCGCCTCCCATGCCAACCATGAGACCGAACCTGATGTTGGGAAAACTGCATGTGAGATGGTGGGCGGCAACCGAGGCGGGATTTGAACATGCCTCGGGCGTGACAATGATGACAACGTTGTGTTCTCCCACTTTGCCCAAGGTGTACGCGGTGTCTGCAACGCCGGGCACATATTCTGGTCCTTGGTGCTCCTCGTCAAGAAGTGCACACGCGGCAAAATGCTCTATTCTTAGAGCGCAGATCCAGCCTACCGTGTAGTCTTCAGGGTCCAACTTTCGTTTCCGGGCGTTGACTGCTGGCGTCGGCGTATCTTCATTTAGTACGTGCATCGACCTCGGTTGGCTCGAGACATTCCCCTGTCCTGAAATGCTGTTACCAGGTCCTGGGTTCGTGTCGCCTTCATCCGATTCCTTCGCAGTGCCACCTCTGGGTTTTACAAGAGTGACTCGGGTGCGCAGACGGCGCTGGAGACGTGAACTCCCTTGGGACCAGAGAAAATACGAGGCCGTGAGAAGAAACAGGAGCCCGCACATCAAAATGCTACATGCCAGCCCGTGCGAACTGACCAGATGCGCAGCGAGCATCCGCGAGGGTAAGAATGACGGCATGGCAACGTCGTGGTGCCGGCGGGAATTGCGGGCCGAGCCGAAGCGGATTCCGGTTCTTGAGGCGCCACGTTGAGCCGCAGCAAGGAATGGTCGATGATGGTTCTGCTCTAGATTTCAGACCAAGCCGGCGGGGGTCTCTCCGCTGGGTGTGAGGAGGTTGAATTAGAAAAGAGAAGCAAGTTGGCCACGCGCAGGTGGAAGATGAGGCCACATGGTCAAGGCGGAGTGATTTCTGACCAACTTGTATGCCGGGCCAAGTTTCAAGCCGTCCGATGAATTCCTCCCAATAGGCAGTTTTTACTCACCGATACATCCATCAGCACTAAAAGTCTACCGGGAAACAAGTACCAATAATTGTCGGCATGCCTCCAGGGCCTGGTGCTCCAGAGGCGACGCCCACGGACAAAGGCACCGCACAACAAAGGGTACAACAACAAAGAAAAATATCACAAGAACCCAGGGTCGGACCTTGGCGAGGGCCTCCTCAGAGACTTGGTCCACAATAACCTGACATTTCTCTAAATTTAGCCTTTACCAACTCCTCCTTGACCGTGTATGACTGCTCGCATCGTAACCAAGGCATCAACATAAAGACCAACAAAATAAACGTTTCCCCACAACCCCATTTCATCCATCCTCTCACGAGCCTCCTCAAAAGTCAGACATTTGACTAAGTGGAAACGGATCACTACAAGTCGGATCAATATACGCCGACAAAAACAGCGAAGAAATCGAGCCATTGACGGCATCATAGTCCGCAGCCGGGCCCAGTATCCCCCCATCCGCAACAACCAAGTTTCTAGTATTGGCAGAAACACCACTCGTCTCCTGTAGAGGCCGTCCCTCAGGTCGAATCGTGCTAGTCTGCCTCGCCGCACCTTTAAGATGCCGGTACGCCTCCTGAGCCAAGCGCCACTTTGTCCTCAACATGTTGAGATTGCCGAGCGCGAGCACAACCCTATTGAGATGATGGTCAGAGCATTCCGACGAATGGGCCTCGCTGGCAGCGAGTTGCACCAGCCCGCAGAAGATGGTGCCAAAGACGACAAAAGGGCTGTAACCCTGGGGCACGCAATGCACCGACAGCAGGTTGGACAGCTCCTTAGAGGCGCCAATGGTCTTGACGTCGTGGACGTTGCGCGTCAGGGACGGCGAGAGGCGGACCGGCGTCACGGGGCAGATAATGGTCATGGATTGCTCGGGGAACCTGGGCCGGAGGTTGCTGCGCGGGAGGTGCAGGAGCATGGCGGCGTAGTGGATGATGAACTGCGCCTGAAACAACATCTCGTCGATGCCGCCGTAGATGTCTACAATGTCGATTTTCTGCGGGGGCAGCAGGTGCGCCCAGCTGACGAGCGTGTTGGCAATGGCTTGCAAGCGGTCCGGGTGGGTTTCGGGGATGCTGTTGAGCACCAGCACGCGCGCGAGGATGTGGAAGGCTTCGATGCGGTAGCTGAAGGAGGAGTATTGGCAGGGCGCCGGCTCCTCGTCGTCGTCGTCGTCGGCGAATACCCTCGCTCTGAAGGCGGCCAGGGACGCGGGCGGCGGAATGGCTTGGAGTGACGCGTATGTCGACTCCTCGCAGGGGAGGAGAACCTCGTTGGGGACGTCGCTGCACCGGAAGTGGAATTTCTGCTGGAGTGTGCGCATGCAGATTTCCCAGATGAAGAGCTCCCACCAGGTCCGCCTTAGGCTCTCCGACTCGAATTCGTCATTGTTGGCAAACAGGGTCGCAAAGTCTTTCTGATACATGCCAATCTCTATGGCGATGGAAATCGCCTGGGCCAGCGATGTCTCGGCTCGCGGACGCTCGTTGCGAGCGCACAGGATGATGGAATGAAGAAGCAGGGCCTGGACCATGCTGCATGACTTTTCTGCAGAGTGGGCGGCCAGGGTAGAAGTTGTAGAGTCGTAAAACTCATCACCGGAGAGCACCATGGAGTAGTGGCTTCCTATAAATTTGACGACTTGTTGCAAGTACGCAGGGTAATTCCGCCTCTCGTACTGGCCTGGGGGTACAAGTATGGGATGTGCTTGATGAAAGTTTTCGTAGAAAAGGCGAACTAGTCGGTCCTCGGGAACATAGGGCTCGGGCTTTCTCTCGCGAGGCGTCGGCGCATTGCTTGACGCAGGAACATCATGCGTAGATGGTTGGGGGATTTCCCCGGGTCCAGTTGAGAGGTGGTGAGGGAGCCGGTGAGGCTCATGCAGTGGCAGCTGCAGGCCTGGCGCTGTCTTTGTATTGCTGATGGTCTCTTGGGCCTGGCCGTGACTATTCGCAACTTTTCGCTTCCCGCCTCTGCGCGAGGGCAGATACGTGCATAGGTTCTGAGTAGTTGCGCAACGCGAGCAGCACGGTTTTTTTGCGTCGCACTTGAGATGGTGACGTCGACACTCGGTACACGCGAGCGCGGAGGGGCGCATTTCCGCAAAGCAGGCTGGTCGTCAAGGCATTCAAGGCAATGAATGAATGTGTCAACATGGAGTGAGTGGTTCGATGTTGTCGGTTGTCGGAAGTCGGTTGAAGGTTTGTCGGTTGGTCGGTGACCATCGTGGCGCTCGGCAACTCGGGAAGCCATGCGCTTGGGTGGGTGGAGCTGACGTGGGATCTAATTATCCAATAGGATGTTAGCATTATCGACAACAGTAAAGCCCAATCGCCGACCAAAAGGCCGGTGGACCGGCTCATCGGCGACTGTTCAAGCATAAAATATAAGAATGCGCCACAGCCGGACTGCATTGGTACTACTACCACGCGACTCTCAAGAATTATACAGACTCCGCTACGAAGCCAAACATTACATTTCAATCATGGCATCAACGTCCAGCTCTCTTCTCAGGCGGCAGGTAATACAGCGCCTGCCGGCATCAGCTTCCCAGTCGCTTCGCCCGCTTGCTGGCATCTCCGAATACCAGAGCCTTCGCAATGCTTGTCAACATCAGGTTAGACTTGTGACTTCATATGATTCGCCATGGCTAGAAAAATCTCCAAGGCGTCGTTTGGCCGTGGCATCCAAAGGTGCTCAGCACAGGGGGTTGCGTCCCGCTGCCCCTACAGCTTTTTATCCAGTGCCGATGCGACAATTTTCTTCCGTGCAGTCTGCAGAGAACACGGTCACGCCGGATGCGAGTTTTCAGCCCATTATCCATGATATATTTGAAGAGAAAACGGGCACCTGGCAGTATGTAGTTGCCGATCCAAATACTCTGACGGCTACCATTATCGATTCAGTGTTGGACTACGACCCTCTGGCACGCACCATATCTACCCATTCAGCCGACAAGATACTTTTGTTGATTAAAAGAATGGGCTACAGGGTGGATAGTATTTTGGAGACGCACATCCATGCAGATCATCTGACAGCAGCGCGCTATCTTCAGACGTCTCTTCACAAAGAGCAGGGATATTTGCCTCTTATCACTGTGGGCAAGCGCATCGTACATATCCAAGAGCTGTTCCGTCAAAAATACGGTCTATCAGAGGAAGAAACACGGGGCGTTTTCGACAGATTTCTCGATGATGATGAAAGATTCCACATTGGCTCCTTGGAAGCCCAAGCGATCCATCTTCCAGGCCACACTCCAGACCACATGGGATTCAAAATAGGAGGTAGGCGTCCACATCATCTACCTTTAGCAGCGAGCCTGGATTTCTCGTATACTAACGGACCTAGATAACATTTTTTGCGGCGACTCCGTTTTCCATGCGGACATTGGCTCGGCGCGTTGCGATTTCCCGGGCGGCAGCGCCGAAGACCTCTATGCTTCGGCTCGCAAGCTACTCAGCTTCCCGGACCATGTCAAGATATGGACTGGCCACGACTACCCTTCACAGAGCCGTAGCGAACCCGTACCTTATCTTAGCGTTGGTGGTCACAGAGCGCAAAATAAGCATTTAATGGACGGGTACAGCAAGGATGAATTCGTTGCCTTGCGGCGTGAACGCGATTCGAAGCTTGCCGAGCCGAGGCTGCTGCACCAGTCTCTGCAAATGAATATCCGGGCGGGGAGTTTGCCGAAACCGTCGCCCGAGGGAGACCGGATGCTTCACACGCCGCTTGACGTGAAACAGCTCGGCATGTAGTTGCATTGCAGGGGGGAGGTAGATATGCTTGTGAAGGACCTGTCAGGGGCTCGCGAATACCGACAGACGCATGGTGTTTCGGGGGATACATTGTACAACAGGGGTTTTCTTGTGGTTTTGTTGATTAGCATGTTGAGCATATATTGCCTAGAATTGTATATACGGATCGGCATTTTGCATTTGGACAAGTCAGCCTGCAGCATTTCTTGTACACTAGCTCAGCCTCTTGAAAGAAGACTACACCTCTACTCTGCTGAATATCTTCCAGATAATGCTACCCCTAGATCTGGGTCCCATCTACTAACGCAAGTCTATCATTGTTGAATATCGCCAGTTTTGCTCAGGGGATTTCTGTTCACCACACACTCCAAAGCCTGCGTACAGGGATATACGTAGTTGGGCATCTCGCCACAAAAGCACTTGGAAAGTTCACCAGTGACCACAACGTGTCTCCTTTTTCACGCTCTCGGCGCAACGCTCGCTCGAAACAACGGTCTGTCATTGCAGGTCGGCATTTACCGATAGACCAGTTGACGTCAAAGTCCAAAGCCCGAGTCGCCGAACAAGCAGATATTGACAACCATGGGAGCTCCACAAGTACGGGGATGGCCCGGAGCGTCTGAACTATAAAGACATTGTAGTTATTCACTTTCCGGAACTTGTGGCAATTCGTTCTACTTCTATTCTTGGCAGCAAGTTGGTGACTTTCCGCAATCTTCAACGCGTTGCCGTTTCTCGCGTGTTTTGTTTTCGCAACGTCTGTCTTTGTATGCCAGTCATTCTCTTTTGCAACACTGCCGTTTTTCTTTACCCAGCACCGAGTCATTCCAAGAAACCAGAGGCCTCTGCCACCCGCAGCCATGTCGCACACATGTCTTGCCCGTCTCCGCCTCCACACGAGTTCGCCCGGCTCGGCCAAGTCGGCCGCCCGCCTCGCCCTCCCAAGAGCTCACTACTCGTCGGCAGCCTCCATGTCACACCGGCACAAGGTGCTCGTCGTCGGCGCCGGCGCGGCAGGCCTCAGCGTCAGCCACCAGCTGCTGCGATCGGGCAAGTTTGCCCAAGACGACATTGCGGTTGTGGATCCTGCCGATTGGCATCATTACCAGCCCGGCTGGACGCTTGTCGGCGCCGGTCTAAAGGATAAAAATAAGCTTAAAATGCGGACCGAGGACCTTATTCACGCCAAGCTCAAGTTGTACAATGACAGCGTTGGCGCCTTCACGCCTCAGGACCATTGCGTCACCTTGGAGACGGGCACCAAGATCCAGTACGACCATTTGGTTGTATGCCCGGGCATCAACATCAAGTACGACAGCATCAAGGGCTTGCCCGAGGCCCTGGCGAACCCTGACGCGCCCATCTCAACCACCTACGGCTACCACACTTGCGACAAGGTCTATCAGAATGTTCAAAAGATGAAGAGCGGCGTGGCCATCTTCACCCAGCCGACTGGAATTGTGAAATGCGCCGGCGCACCACAAAAGGCCATGTGGCTCGCGCTGGACTACTGGAAGCGAGCTGGACTCTACCGCCCTGGCTCCGAGCAAGATTCCAGCATCAAGGTCAGCTTTGCCACCGGTCTCCCGGTCATGTTTGGCGTTGCCAAATACAGCGCCACCCTGGACCAGTTGCGACGCGAGCGCGGCGTCGAGGGCCTCTTCCAGCACGACTTGGTTTCCATCGACGGCAACCAAGCCACGTTTGTCCTACCCGACGGCAAGCAGGTTGCCCGTCGATTCGACTTTCTCCACGTCGTTCCCAAAATGGGGCCGCACGCCTTTGTTGCCAACAGCCCTCTGGCCGACGCAGCCGGCCTGGTGGACGTGGATAGCAGCACGATGCGGCATCGGGCATTCAGCAACGTCTGGTCCCTCGGCGATGCGTCCAACCTCCCCACGTCCAAGACGGCCGCGGCTATTACTGCCCAGGCCCCTGTTCTTGTTTCTAATTTGCTCTGTGCGCTGGAGGGGGCCAAGACGAATGCCGTGTATGATGGGTATACTTCGTGCCCTCTCACCACCGAGTACGGCAAAGTCCTCCTCGCCGAGTTCAAGTATGGCGGCGAGCCAAAGGAGACGTTTGGGAAGCTGGTCAATCAGGCTGTCCCGGGCCGGGGATTTTACTACCTCAAGAAAGATTTCTTTCCCTGGGTGTATAAGAAGTTTATGGTCAAGGGGGCTTGGGGCGGTCCAAAGGGCTTCATTCGACAAAGATAGGGCCGGGGCGGCTCTGCGGATAGGATTCGGGGCCAGTGGGGGAAGAATTGGCATTCTCTAACATGTCTGATGCTATATGCACTTTCCGCGTGGGCGTCGCGGACTCACAGTACGAAAGTGACGGCGGGGGTTGGTAATAGAACTAGCTACGAGGTGGCACTAGATGGGATCCAAAAATTATACCTGATACAGTCTTGATATTTCCTTCTTTCTATTTAAAGTTCTCTAAATAGGCCGGTTCATAACAGTACATGGTAGCAATCATATGACAATCTCTCTTGGGCTTCCGGCTCTATGACTCAGAGCCGTCGACTTGGGTAGTAGCATGGATCAACTTGATACGCAGCTTATTCAAGTTGTCCATTTTCATGGCCCGTTCATGGCAGGTTTGGTTAATTAACACCCCAATCTAGCAACGCAAGTCGGTCCTCTTACCCTGTAGCTAATTTGAGGACGACCATCACAGATTGGGTCGCCAATTCCTGAGCAGCGGATATCAACTACGAATATGTCACCGTGAAAGTGTACTATTATTCGGTATTGCCGAATAAGCCACCCAAAACCACCCGAAGGCTCACGAAGGCTCACACGACGACCCTATTCCACTAGTTTCAATACATGGAACCCATTACCACTCGGCGCTCCCATGGGCTTCAGAGACCAATTGAATAATATTGCAAGGGTGTAAATGAAAATTCAGACTCTCTATTTTTGACAGATGACCAAGGGACTGATGAACAGGGTCCTGGTCTATTCGATTGTGAAAATCAGAGGGGGCCTAGTCTTGTCCAATATCCACAGCCCAAAACGGCCATGAGTCAGTCGTCAGGTTTTTTCTCGACAAGATGCCCGACTTGAATTCGAATAACGACATTTTTTTTGACACGTTGTCACGGGCTGCCTGAGGAGGTCATCAGAGGATCCTCAAGCTGCGGGGAGAGAATGGCGCGACGTGGAGGGCCGACTGGAAGAGGTGTTAGCCAGCAAATACCATGAGATAATGAGAGACGAGTGCAGAGCCTGAAACAAATACAATGGGAGGTTGAGGGCACAATTACCCTCGGAGTCGGATGGCGAAGACATGGCGACAATATCAAGCGCAGATATTTACAAGACACCCAGAGACGCACACTCGGCACCAACTTCTCCGTCGCCCGACTTACGCAATCACAGGAATCGACGCCAAAGTAAGTGGTCTTGAACGTGGAACGGAAGGATCAAATGCTGGGGTTATTATATAATGCTATATCTTAAGTTGGGGACACTCTATTCTCGTATGTGGTGGGGTGGCTCGATTTTAATTTCGCAACGCCTCCAAGCGACCATTGCCAAGCGGCCCTTTCCCAGTACCAGCGGGGGTCATGGACTCCACGCCAAGTTTGGACGCAAACGTCTGGGTTGAGGGTCTACAATGCCGTCGGGAAATTTGCGATATTCCGCCAAGGGTCGCCGTGGCTGCGTCGTCTTGCTCCATGACTCGGCCGCCAAACCCGGTAGCCGCCTTGGCAAATGCAATCTCCTGTGGGGGCTATAGAACGGATAATAATAATTAAAAATGAACGTGTCAGCGCGAGCAAGGGCGCGGAAGACTTTATATTATATAGAGTGTCCATATACATATACATATGTATGGAAAGCCGTCGCACCCCAAGTACAACAGCTGTATTAATATGAGATGAAATATATGCATCCTTGACGGAAAGACTAGTAGACTCTACAGGCAAGCTCGCGACCTTGAACACGGTCATGAAGTCGACTAGACTAGGCAAACGGGAAATGCCGCACTTCCTCCAGTGCTTGCCTTGACTGACTCTTAAAATGTCTCAAGATCCGTATTCCTTCCCGTTGGCATACAGATGGCAGTTTTAAACTATATTGTTTGTATCGAACTAAGCCGCACTTATGATCTTCTTTGTTACAACTTATAAAACTTCCGAGGTTACTCATTACTATATAGATAGTAACTTATTGTTTTTGCTTCCAGTTAGACCTTATGCCAAGGCTTTGACATATTTTCTAGATGAAAGAGGCGACAGCCCTATAGATTAAGAGTACCCCATGTAAAATAATTTATTACTCGGGCTTAACACTTCATTATCGGGCTTAAGGTATCCACCTCGCTTGCATCGCAAGCCGGTCTACGGAGTCTGGCCCAGTGCCTTATTTGCAGTCTTTGTTAGTAATATCACGCTAAGCCTATTTGCAGTTCCAGCTATAGGCAATAAGTACCAGCAATAATAGTATTTGCCCACCCCCACGTCGATCCCACGCCGCCGATTGCGCAGTAGCAATGCCAAGATGGCGGCTATGCCTCACATAGGCCGGGAGTAAGCCATATACTTGCTTTCATGGAAGTTAATTCGTTTGAATCTCAAGTTGAACTATAGCACAGGGGCAACTGGTTACTGAATATCATGGGAAGGAACCACGGGTGACATTTTCACCGGCCAAGCCCTACAAGCGAGGGCAGTAGTATTGGCGATATCGGATAACCATTGCGTGATGATGATGCAACTCTGGACAATGAGGGTCAATACTGATTTTTTATATGGACGTTGAGCTTGAATATAAATACCGTCATGTGCCACTAGTCCTCGCTAAACTGGCCTTTGCTCTTGTATCTGGCCCCCATCGGACAATTCTCTTGCTTTGCGTCCTCCGTCGAGGCTCTCCAGCATCATGGGTTTCCGAACTGCCGCTTCTCTCATCGCTTTGCTCGGCCTCAATGCCGGGCTGTCGGTTGCCGCTGGAGGCGCAGAGGGCGATGCAGGCCGCATGACC